AAGATTGTTCTCCAAATCGTCAACCTTATTCTTGTGATTTCGTCTTTGCTGCAGAGTCCTGAAGCACGCACGACAGATATGCTGCGAAGTGAGGTGAACAACAAAACAAAGGTCTTGAATCTCGCTTTTTACTGAAAATTCCCCTTTATTTTCGACTAAATTTCTATCACAAGCTTTCGTTAACAACGAGAAACACAAAACGCACGATAAAGACGCCATGAATAATTATAGCTATTAAAAATATTTGCGCTAATTAATATTTTAATTATGCATAACATGCACGTGACTGAACAAGCTTGATCCCTCCATTACGCAGACGCTTAAACCCTTTCATTATGAAATACGAAGCGTCTGCACCGCAGGCTACCGTACTAGTGGTTAATTTGCTTTACAAGTTTAATAATTGTTTAACATATTTCAAAGCTAGTGTAGAAGCTATTAAAATAGAGTTGTAAAATCCAAAACTTCGCTAGCGGTTTGACGTTTGCCGTAAACGTCAATCTTAAGGTGTCTAATATGTAAATTAGGTTGGCAGCCAGTAAACAATGTGGACACTTAGTGCCTCTACTGTGGTTTTCCTATGCTGTGTCACTGGTTCTCTCTTGTGCGATAAGTAAAAGAAGAGAGTGAACTTTCAGAAAAGAGCAGCAGGCATATCCCCGGGGTTGACCGAGGTCTGAATAATTCTTTATGTCATGCGAAAGCCGAATCCAATAATTGTTTTATTATACATTTAAGACATCAGAAACTATTATTATTGTTATTATTGTCATTATTAATGTTTCAAGTACATTACAAGAATATAATACATTTCTTTAAGTATTTTCAAATTCACTAAAATTTCACACAACTGTTAGATTAAACAAATTTTTGTGGCTTTCTTAGTACTCTCACTGTCTTTATCTGCTAATAGTTTTGACAGATCGTTTTCATCTAATGAAGCAATTCTACTGCCATTTTGTTTATTTTATCGCGATTTTGGGTTTGAGTTGTTGGCCGCTCCGGGGGTTGGGCACGACAGCGTCCAATATTTTTTTTTTTTGGATGCAAGTTCGATGGAAAAAACTATTATTGGACGCTGAGCAGGTCAGCAGCTGAAATTACGTAATAAGTACTGAATAATGACAATTATTATATACACAAGGTCTGGATATGAGGTATTCTGCAATCTGATTGGTTCTCTACTAGCAGGATACTAGCTCATATCCTGCTAGTAGAGGAAAACAAAATGGCGGCCAAACTGAATTTACGATGTTTTGCAAACGAGAAAACGGCAAGTTGTCGCTTTTTATAGCCTTCACAGGATTAAAAACACAATGAAAAAACTCCCACAAATTGTTTTCAGGTTAGCAAATAAATTTTTAATATTAAAATGGTTATAAATATATATTTTTGAAAAAATAATCGGCCGAAAGAGCGAAGATAAAAACATAAACAAAATAGAAAAATATTGAAAATATTCGAAAAGGAAAGTCTGTGAATTCAAACCTTGTGTATATATTACGCGCCTCATCGGCTATCAGCTCATATTCGACTCGAGTTCGTAGAATAACTGTTAATTATCCGGTGCTCTCTGCCTCATTAGGAACGAGAATACATACTAAATGTATAATAATGAATAATGCTGTATTTATTAACTGAATTTATATATTTAAAATGCCGAAGCAACTATATGTAACATGCAGAAGAATTTTTTCGGTGACTGTGTTTTAGTATTAATTCATTTGTCTTAGGTGTGCAAGAGCAAAAGAGAATGGAAGTGGACCATGCAGAGTACATGCTGTTGGTATGAGAGATGAAGCGAAACATATGATTGGAAATAAATTATGGTCCGGCAAATGGTTAATCAGCAACAACAAATTAACCAATTTCAAATGATGATGCTACAACAAAATAATTTCAATGCTTGACAAAATAACATCTAGGAAATAGTATATTACTCTATAATTGTATAACTAAACTGTATGCCCTCTTGGGGCATATTCATTTCAGGTTGATCAGTTCATTTGCAAACTTGAATTTTATTTGATCACTTCCTCAGGTTTTAACAGGTTTCCTAACAGTTCAAACGTTCCTGCAAACTATAAACAAAAAAACTTCGAAGAGATACCGCATATTATTAATAAACGTTACAACCTGCAAACTATACTGCAAAAAATTATTATGAACATTTTTCATCGACATTGATATATTATACCAACGCTCCATTTTGCTATAGAATTAAAATATTTCATAATTAAAATATTTGGGAACCTGTAAATTTGGGTAATATGTAATAGCATATCTTTATTTTAATAAAACGGTAATTTCTTAGTATATTTCTTTACATTTAATCCAGTTTACGCCATGTACGCTACAGCGTACCTATTTTTGTTTATTTACGTGCTGCTTAATGTTTAAATTTGCAACAAAACCGCCGTATCCTATCCAGTCCTTTAAGGACTGACGGGACGTCCGTGTTGTCAAAAATATTGCTTGCTTAAGTTCTCTAATGTCATTATGTCAATGCTAAAGATACCCATGTATGGAAAGAGATTGCTCTTGAACATGTAGATAAAATGTAACAGAAATGTATTTGTTTCCTTTGTGTAGGTCAAGTTTCTCTCCCGCCTGAAGGCAACACATTTGTTGTTCTCCCGGGAGAAAATGTGACAATAGTCTGGAAACTTGATGTCGATGTAGCTCTCATAACTGGTCGATCATGGACATTTCTTCCAAAGGGCATCGACACTTTTGCTGCAATCATTGGAGATGGAGGTGTGGTTGGAAATCCTCAATACTCACCTGGGCCATTTACAATAATAAAGCCTGCAACATTGATTTTAAAGAACGTTACTACGCAGTACAATGGAACATATAATTTTTTTGTTTCTACACTTCGTGGCGGTGAAAATTCCATAGTTACTGTGTTTGTTGCAGGCAAGTGTATGTTGTATAATATCCTGTGATCTTTTTAGCCTATTTTTCGCCAATTTCCACACTAAGTGCATGCGCACAGAGATGCAGAAAGGCGTATATTAAATTGAAGTATCCATATAACACAGTTTTCATTAAACAGAGTAAACTAATATAGTAGGGCGCATTAGGTCACACTTTGCATTAGACATAGTAAACTAATAAAGTAGGGCACATTGCCACTTAAAGCGTTAAAAAAATATAGATTAAATCCGATTACGAATACTAATCCCAGTTAAAAATGGTGGTCTAAAATAAATCGTGAAGAGTCACATGAAAGAATTGCTGCGAACTGCAATGTTTGTATAGGTAATATATGGTTTCGAGTGAGTTTTTCAAAGACTGTCAAAATTGCACGATTCCGAAGTAGTCAGGACCTGTGTAGGAGTTTGTATGCGTTTCATTTACCACAGGTAATTTTAACTGTTTTAGGGTAAAATGACCATGGCAGTCAACATGGCACATGTGCTAAAACCTGAATTCGGGACGAAAGTCCTGACAATGACCACGCCTTGAAACGGCAATGCCGATATAGCTCTAACTTCCGAAAAACAAAAGCAACAGCCTTTCTGAAATGCTTATATCGTTTAGAAGGGTTGCTTTTATGGGTGGTTATTGGAAGGAAAAATTTGTCTAAGTATAATTTTTACAAGAAAATGACCATGCATTACCTCAGGTAAATTGGTAATTATGCATAAAATAACTAATATGCATGTCAGAAATTAAATATCCTTATTTCTAAAAAAGATTATCATGGCCATGTGATAAAAAACTATGCTTATAATTTAATATAATTATTGTAGTTTTTATAAGGATAGTCATTGTTTTCTATAAATATAATATATTTTATTTCACTTACCTCCCACGAAAACACTGTTTCAGCCATATTTTGCCATCTTGTTTGCTTTTTATCGCAAATAACATCCATCTTGTCTCGCAAATAACATGCAGTTATGGTACTTTTACATTATGGTAAATGGCGAAAGAAAATATCAACCAAGTTCGACAAGTTTTGAAGAAGTGCAGTGTATTTTATCTTCGATATTGTGTCCTTCGATATTTGTCTAATATGCCTCTATTTTAATGGTAAGCCGATGGTCTGCCAGACAAATGTCACTTCTTCGTCTTCATATGTATTTAGATTACAGTATCCTTGAGTACTTCATTGTAGAATAGTCCCAATCGGGAAATTGAAAACATTAGTTGCACTTGAAAGGAAAAAACCTCCCATAACAAATTTAGGATAGGAATAAAAACGAATCATTTGAAAGTCACGCGCAATCTTCGCAACAATTCCTCGGGGCTACTTGACAGGGGGGCGAATATTTTTACGAAACGTTTCTAAATATATTGTATTTATTGTATTTTTTGATTTAAGATAAAAACAATAAATATTTACGTATTTTTATTATCTATCATAAAAATACAATAAATATAATATATTTAGTTTATAGGTCGCTGTTGGCCAGGGGCGTAGGAACCTGAGGGGTCAGGGGGTCCCCCAAGTTTTCAAAAGTACCCTTTTTTCGGCGGCAAAGTGCCCTTCGTGTTCGTGAAAAATGTTGTTCCGATTGCATTTTTGCCACGATGGCCTTTGATCAATGCCAACATTTTTGCAACGTTTCCGGAAAAAAATTTTAGGTGCCCTTTATGATTGCATTTATTTTTCTTTCCTCCCGGAGGGCCGTAGCGAGGGAGAGTATTGGGCGGGGAGGGGGTTAACCCCCAACTTTTTTAGAAGTGCCTATGACACGAAATTTCACGCCAAATATTTATGATTGCATTGTAAAGAACACTTAAAATGACTTAATAATTTCTTTTATAGAATTTTGGTAACTTGCTTCCTTTGCAAGATATTCAACTTCGTTTCATATGCAAATATCGCTAGTGTGACATGAAATTAATACGTATAAAAAGCCAATTTTTAAGTTTTTTAGATAAGTATTCGTCAAGAAAACTATACTTTTCTGAAAACTCATTATGTGATTTGATGTCACACCGGTGATATTTGCATATGAAGCAAAGTTGAATATCTTGAAAAGGGAGTAAGTTACCAAAATTTTATAAAAGAAATTATTAAATGATTTTAAAGCCAGTTTTCCACTTCAATCGAACCGAAACGTATTTCTTTGTTTCCCGAGCGCTAGAATGGAGCTAATGACTTTGACACAAAAGAAAATGCCACGCTACGTTACGATTGAAGTGGAAAACTGGCTTAAGTGATCTTTACAATGCAACCATAAACCTTTGGGGGGAAATTTCGTATCATAATACCATAGTTACCTCGAAATCCTTTGTCTGGCGAGGTACGATTAATCACTAATTTACCTCATTACTAAAACATGGAGTAAAATTAGAACTAATTTTTACCACGGGCAAAATTAGAACCGCCCGTGGTAAAATTAGTTCTAATTTTCCCCTGCATGCTTGATGAGGGAAATTTAGAAGACAAACGCGCGTACCTTATTACCTCTGATTGGAGAGCTGTACCTCATCGAAAATCATCGGCACAACTATGGACAGTATCTGACGACACCGTCCCGCACACATTCTAACAATCACTTTGCCAGCTTTTATTCCCTAATCTTGAACATTACAATTGTGGGACAAAATTCCGTTTATGCGCATGCCTAAAACGCCAATGGACGCCCTGAATGCCATTCTATTACTTATAATAAAATTAACATATTCGGAAAATGGGGTTGGTCATTCGCAAAGTTACGGCAATACACAAAATTGTAGTCGTTAAACAGAGAAAATATAATATTATTGTAATGTCAGTTTAAACTGATTTATGAAGTCATGTCATTTACGTGGATACCATCTAAATAATCGGGGAATGTTTTTCGGTTTATTTCTTTTCAGGGCCA